ACAAGTTTCCATTCCCTTCAAGGAACGGGGAGTACCAATGCGGCCAGGGTAGTAGCCGTTACTGAAGGGTCCCAGGGAGACAAGGAGTTCTCTGGCTAAAGAACTCTGGAACAAGAAGCTACTTGAACATCTTTCCCCAGGCAGAGGGTCTCCTTATCTGGAGCACCAGTCAGACCCTCAGCCTCCTAGTAGCTCCAAGCCCTCCTGGGCTCCTCCCAAGTTTCTAAACACCAAAGAGCTCCATGTGGGAGGTCAAATGCCCCTAAGGTTGGAGATCTTAGGCACAAATTCCTGAGGGGAAATAGGGGAAAGGAGGTAGGACAGGGAAGGGAGGTGGGGGGGGGGGACACAAAAGGATGGTGTAACTAGCCTGGGGCAACCAGTAGAAAGAAGCTGCTCTGGGGGCTCAAGAAGCTGCCAATCTCAGCTCCCTGGGCCCCTGGGAAAAAACTTATCTCTAGCGGAATATCAGCAATGAGGGAGGAAGGGAGAACAGAGGGAGGGAAGGAGGGAGGGAGGGAGGACATGGAGCTTCCAATACCCAAGGTGCTCCAAAGCTGATAGAGCCTCAAGGGGAGGCTCACTATTGTCACCCGAGGGCCACTCACCAATAAGGCGACAAGGTACTGATTATGTCCTGGGAGCTTGGCACTCCGACGGGGTGCCGTTGAGGGCTGCCTGACTGGACAACATGATCTGTGCCATGGGCGCTTATACTCGATGAGACTAATTATGTGAAATTGTAAATAATACAATATAGGTTGGGTCAGATTGTGTGGAACAGATTAAAAATACCATATGAGAGATTTGGCCGCAGAAGTCAAGCAACCACTTAATAGAAGGGAGGGAACTTACGCTTGGTCTTGAGGAACTAGCAGAATTTACAGAAGGGAGATCCTTCCTAGGACGAGGAGGGAGGGAGAAGGGAACGTGCCTCGTGTATCTGAGGTACAGCGAGGTGCCTGGCCTGAATGTAGTTGAGCGTGTCTGCCCAAGGACTGGGAGGAATCAGGAAAAAAAAAAAAAAGAGATCTTCAAATCCTATGGAGAGCTGGGGCTCAAGTGCCCCATGCGGAGTAGAGTGCTCGCTCTGCTGAGGTTCCAGCCCCTCAGCCTAGTCAGAGAACTGGCTCAAGACAGGGTGGGCCAGTCTTGGGTTGGTGTCACACCACTGTCCCGTAAACTCCACCCAAGCCTACACTCAAGGAAAGAGGCTAGAGCCACAGAATTCTTTCCCACCTAATCCTAGTTCTGGTGGAATCAGGAGTGCATCTCCCCAGTAAATGCCCACCAGCCCCAGACAGCCCCCCAGGGACCTGGGAGGAGTGCAGTGCTGTGAGCTTTTCCAGAATGGGCCCAGTGCCCTCGGCAGTAGGTTGTTACCCGGCTTGTGTCCTGGGCCCTTGTGTAGAGACATCTGGAGCAGCAGAAACTGAGCATCTTGTCTTTGGGTGGGAACTGTGTACGGTCTCCCCCCCCCAACCCCGCTCTAATCCCCACCCCTACCTTTGCCTGTTACCACCCCCCCCGGGGGGGTTTGATAGCTCTGGGTTTCTAGGAATGCCCCTGCTCTGTCCCAGCGTCCTTCAAGGCGGGGCTGCTGGCCACTTGGCCTCCCCTGCACACAGCTCATGCCCCTTTCCCGCTGCCTCTGCCCCCTCCAGAACTCCATCCGCCACAACCTGTCCCTGCACAGCAAGTTCATCAAGGTTCACAACGAGGCTACCGGCAAGAGCTCTTGGTGGATGCTGAATCCTGAAGGAGGCAAGAGTGGCAAGGCTCCCCGCCGCCGGGCAGCCTCCATGGATAGCAGCAGCAAGCTGCTCCGGGGCCGCAGCAAGGCCCCCAAGAAGAAACCTGCCGTGCTGCCGGCTCCACCCGAAGGCGCCACTCCAGCGAGCCCGGTTGGCCACTTTCCCAAGTGGCCAGGCAGCCCTTGCTCGCGAAACCGCGAAGAGGCCGATGTGTGGACCACGTTCCGTCCACGAAGCAGTTCCAATGCCAGCACCATCAGCACTCGGCACTCCCCCATGAGGGCAGAGTCTGAGGTGCTGGCCGAGGAGGAGATGCCAGCCTCAGTCAGCAGCTACACAGGGGGTGTCCCTCCCACCCTAAACGAAGATCTCGAGCTGTTAGATGGGCTCAATCTCACCTCGTCCCATTCCCTGCTCTCTCGGAGTAGTCTCTCTGGCTTCTCTTTGCAGCATCCTGGGGTCCCGGGTCCCTTACACACCTACAGCACCTCCCTCTTCAGCTCAGCAGAGGGGTCCCTGGCAGCAGGAGAAGGGTGCTTCGCAAGCCCCCAGTCTCTGGAGGCCCTGCTCACCTCTGATACGCCACCACCCCCTGCCGATGTGCTCATGACCCAGGTAGACCCCATTCTGTCCCAGGCTCCGACACTTCTGTTGCTGGGGGGGCTACCTTCCTCCAGCAAGCCAGCCACAGGAGTCGGCCTCTGTCCCAAGCCGCTAGAGGTCCCAGGCCCCAGCAGTCTGGTCCCCACCCTTTCTATGATAGCACCACCTCCGGTCATGGCAGGGGCTCCCATCCCCAAGCCCCTGGGGGCTCCTGTGCTCACACCTGGTACTGAAGCTGCAAGCCAAGACCGAATGCCTCAGGATCTGGATCTTGACATGTATATGGAGAACCTGGAGTGTGACGTGGATAACATCATCAGCGACCTCATGGATGGGGGCGAGGGACTGGACTTCAACTTCGAGCCAGGTAGGACACCTCTTCATCCACGGTAGCATCTCACAACCTACAGCCACTCCTAGGTGCCCAGCTAGTGCCATGATCTGAGCAAGAGGGAGCTTTAGAACTGGCGGCCGGGGAGGGGGGCGGTGGCTGGAGCCCCTGGGGAATGGGGGAGAGGGCGTCGTATTAGAGGGGCGTAGCTCCCCATGGGACCTCCAGGCCCCTCAGCAATGCCCGCCCCTAGCAGCAGCAGCACAGGTGAGGTAGGGGGAAGGGCTGTCTCTGTTTTTTGTGGGGTTTTTTGGGGGGGCATGGACCTTAATGGTGGAAAGTTGTCATGCCCCAGATGAGCCTCTTTGTCTTCCATTTCTTCTTTCCACAGATCCCTGAGCCACGGCTGGAAGCTTTGTCCCCTGCTTCAGCGGTGGAGCCAGGCGTGCCCATATCCACTCTTTACCCTTGACCCCTCCCTGGGAATTCGGGACCCTGCTTTAGAGCTAGGGTGGGGTCTGCTCACACGGGGGCGTTGAAGAAATTCTAAAGATAAAGCTGCCCCATCTGGGAACTGTGGAGGGAGGGAGGGAAAGGGGTGGGGGGAAAGGGAAAGGGTTTCTTCTCACTGTGCCAATTAGGGGGTGAGGCCCCCTCTTGGGAGCCATCCTTGGCTCCCTCCATTCCCGCCCCCTGGGTTTCAGAGCAGGGGTGGGCAATGCTGTTGGAAATGTGAAGTCACCAGTGGCCTTACCCCTGCCTTTGGAAGCAGGATCTTTTGTAGTCTTACCTGAGCTGGTCCGGGCTAGCTTGAGCCTGGGATTTTTATGCAGTGGCCCCCTAGGCCAGTGGGGTGGGGTGGGTAGGGTGGGGTAGTAGGGACCTGGGAGGGCCAGGGTCTGAGCACTGGAGGGGCTCACCAGGCCAAATCACCCTTGGAAGCCTGCAGATAACAGAAAGGCTTTTTATAAACTTTTAAAGAAATATAAACACAAATACAGAGATTTTTAACAGTGGCAAGGTGCTAGTGATGGGGAGAATGCTTTTTTTTTTTTTTTTCTTTCTGAAGGCTTTGTCATAGTGACATGATGCAAACACTACAGACATTACTTGGGGAAACATGGGAAGTGGGGGGGGGGAGAGAGAGAGAGCTCCAGGCCACCAGAGAGCAGGGGGCAGGGGAGCAGCAGTGGAGAGCTGTACTGAGCAAGGGGGAAAGCTCTGCTGTGAAGATGTCTGGAACAAGGTCTGCGCAGACCTAGCTTAGAGTTGCCCTACGGAAAAAGCTAAGCCAGGCCCCCTGGTTCACCTTGTGTCTGGGAGTGTGTGCTGTTGGGGGTGCGGCCGCCCACTCGCATGACCCACTACGGGTTAGCACTATGGTGGGAGAGTGCACTGAAGGCCTGGAATTAGTCTGTGGCCTGCAAAGGGGTGGGAGGGGGTGGGGGAGAAGAGGAGGGAAGGATTTAGGGTGGTAAAGTTAGGCACAGAGACCTCCCTGTTCCAGGCCCCTGACAGCTGTCCCTGCCCTTCTTCCCCTTGCCTGACTACAGGGGTTATGTGGAAGTGTGTGTGGTGGCAAGCAGGGGGGAGGGGTGGAACAGGGAAGGGGGAGCTGGGGAGCTTGGCCAAGGGTCTGGGAAATGAGCGGGGATGGAGGGGAATGTGGATCAGGTTTACTAGCACCTGCCAGGGTGGCCATCTGGGGCTCCTTCCCCACCCCAGCCCCCAAAGCAGCCCCTCCCCCAGTCCCCTTTGCATTGTCCCCTCCCCCGCCCCTGCTGTGGGTTCCCATCATTTCCTGTGTCAGCGCCTGGCCTACCCAGATTGTATCATGTGCTAGATTGGAGTGGGGAAGTGTGTCAAATCAATAAATGAATAAATTCAATAAATGCCTATAACCAGCTCTGGTTTCTGCTGCCTTGCTGCTCCCCTCAGATAAGGCGGGGGGCGGGGGAGGCAGAGGACTGGCGGGAGGGACTACTCAGAAGCGGAGGAGAGGTGGGGGGCTGGGGGAATTTCAGCAGGGGGAGTTGGTGGATCATCGCAGTGGGGGGAGGGAAGCTGCCAATCCCTCACGGAACCCCAGCAGTAGTGGGCGGGCTGTGATAGGCCTCTCAAGGGGAGGTAGTCTGGTTGGATAAGACCCCACCCCCTACTCTGTCCCTCAAAGGCTCATTGTAGCAGACTTCACAGTCTTGCCTCACTCCCACCCATGTGCTCACCCCAGCCCTCTCCTGCCACTCCTACCCACCCTCAGAGCCTCCACGGTGCCTGGGGCACACTTAAGCCTTGGTGCAGATATTGGGAGAAGGAGTCTTTCTTGAAGAAGGGACCTCATGTTGAATTCCAGTGATTTCATACCTCGTATTACTGCTCTCACTTGGGCACTTTATTTAGTTAGCGATGTTTATCCCTTCTACTGAAAAAGTCCGCTCTGGTCCTAAAGATCGGACCCCTGCGAGGGGACCCCTCTTCATCCAATCTTCCTGTTGATTTGGACTGGAAAAGGAAAGGATCCATAAGTAGATCAAGAGGCCCCTGCAGGGAAGCTTTCTACAAACTAGGGCCTGTGGCAGGCCAAGAGAGGTTGGAGGCAGGTCTTGGGCATGGATGTTGGATTTGGAAAGGAAATTCATCCCAGGGGTGGGGGGGGGGCAGGGGGCAGGAGCCTTGGGTTGGCTGGTAGGGAAGCGCAGGGTGCAGGAACAGACTACATTTGGGGAGTCTTACTGGGAGGTTCACGGAGGAGTCAGTTGGACTGACTTTCTTGGCTTCTTGGCTTCTAAGCGATTTAATTCGGTTCCTCTCCAGGAGGTCACATTGTATGCGCAAGGTGTCTGAGAACCAGGAAAAGGCACCCCCACCTCTGAGGACTAGAGACCTTACCTACCCACCTCATCCCTCCCATCATTCCAGTGATCACTTGGAATAACTGGGTCCAAAGCTAGGCTGAGGAGTGATCTGAAGGTGCCTAAATTTTGCTCTTTTCGGTGGGAACTGGGACACCGAGACTCCAAGAGAAAAGGATGAAGGGAAAGATGGAAACGATGGGTGGTGATAGGGAGATTATATCAAGACAGTGCCCGAGAAATGGGGGTGAGGAGTAGGGGTGAGTGACACATGCTACTCCAGCCGGTTTGAGCGAAACACCCATCCTAAAGTGGACCTAGGCCGTAGTCCCCTTTTCCTAGGATCCTGCCTCATTACACAATTCGCACTCCATATAGAGAATGTACTCTATCACCCGGCTGTGTACGGTCCTCTCCACGTTCTTCCTTCCTCCATCATGCTCCTTACCAATTAGCTCAGGTTCTGGATTCTTCAGGAGAGGCACAAAAGCTCTGTAGGCATTCTCCAGTCGGGTTCCTGTGAACACAGCAGTGTGCTATCTCCAGCCTCTGTCACCCCGTCCCCCCCTTCCAAAGCCCAAGATTTCAGGAACCTAACACTCGATGCTACTGTGAGCTGATATACCTGATTTCTTCCCCCTCAGGTCCAACCCTAGGCTCAGGTGGGGGGGGGCGCATAATATGCATAAACCTACCCTATTGTTGTAGAGGCAGTGCTCTTTCTTAGGCTGACTGGAGATGGTCAGTTTGGACCTGGTTGAGGGTCAAGGTTCACAGTCCATTTTGGACAAGGTTCACAGTTCAGTTTGAGGGCCCTGCCCTATCTTTCAGGAATGCTCCCAAGCCTCTACCTGGTGCTCCATGCTCCACCTTACAAATATAGTAGGTGTTTCGAGCAGTAAGGAATTTGCTGGCATAGTCTCCAGGGGTCCTCGTCAGGAAAAGCAACTTCATTGTCCCCGTTTCATCACACAAATCGATGGTGTCTGGAGGGAGGCCACAGGGTTATTGGGGCAGCTAAGGAAGGGGAGTGGGAGCAAAAAGGGCAGTGATCCTATCCTGAAGGGATTGGAGGAAGCTGTTGGATTCAAAGAGCTCTCTTCTTGCCCGTCGGAGGGCTTGGAGGCTGGAAATGACCCCGCGGACTTCTAACCCTTGGCCTTTAGTCCCCTCCCCCCAACTCCTCACCTGTTTTAGGCAACCCTACTTTATTGCGGGTATAATGCAGCAACAGAAGGACAGAGCAATTGGTATTGACCAGAAACTGCTGATTATCTGAGAAGACATGGGATGGGGCATGTGGCCCTTCTCTAGGTATACCATCCCTGTGACCGCCCCTCCACTGCCCTCAAACCTCCCCAGCCCTACATACAGACTCCAGCTCTGTAATGCCCCTCACCTCCATGTTTGATGAAAATGAACATGCTCTCAAGATCTTCTCACTCTTCAGATGGAGGCCTGATGAGTCATTCGGAAGGAGAATGTTCTAGAGGTCCTGGGAGGTGGGGGGGGGCAAGTTGGCCCATAGGGTTGGGGGTCTGGAGAGGTCGGTGGATCGCATAGGCTGAAGAGGCCCAGACAGGGCAGACAGGAGAGAGACACTGGCAGTGGTGGATAGCCAGCATCCCTAGGGGTGGGGCCTGAGGCTGAAGTTGAGGGATTATGAGGTCAGAAGTGGTATATGTAGCAGAAGGTGGAGTAAGGATAAGGAGAGAAGAACCCAGGTGGGGTCTGTGAAAGATTTGCTGGGGACAGGCGCCTGGGTGGCTCAGTTGGTTAAGCGACTGCCTTCGGCTCAGGTCATGATCCTGGAGTCCCTGGATCGAGTCCCGCATTGGGCTCCCTGCTCGGCGGGGAGTCTGCTTCTCCCTCTGACCCTCCCGACCCTCCCCCCTCTCATGCTCTCTCTCTCTCAGTCTCTCTCTCAAATAAATAAATAAAATCTTAAAAAAAAAAAAAGATTTGCTGGGGGGGGGCAATGCATCCTGCGGGGCGCCTGGGTGGCTCAGTGGGTTAAGGCTGTGGCTCTTGGTTTCAGCTCAGGTCGTGATCTCAGGGTCCTGGGATCGATGCCCGCATGTCGGGCTCCTCCACGTTCAGTGCAGAGTCTGCTTGTCCTCTCCCTCTGCTCCTCCCCGCCCAATAAATAAATAAAATCCTTTTAAAAATAAAATAAGGGGCATGTGGGTGGCTCAGTCAGTTGGGGGTCTGCCCTCGGCTGGGTCCTGATTCCGGGGGCCTGGGATGGAGCCCTGAGTCGGGCTCCCTGCTCAGCGGGGAGCCTGCTTCTCCCTCTCCCTCTGCCATTCCCCCTGCTTGTGCTCTCTGGCTCTCTCTATCTCTCTGTCAAATAAATAAATAAAATCTTAAAAAAATAAATAAAATAGGGCGCCTGGGTGGCTCAGTTGGTTAAGCGACTGCCTTCGGCTCAGGTCATGATCCTGGAGTCCCGGGATCGAGTCCCGCATCGGGCTCCCTGCTCGGCAGGGAGTCTGCTTCTCCCTCTCCCACTCCTCCTGCTTGTGTTCCCTCTCTCGCTGTGTCTTTCTCTGTCAAATAAATAAATAAAAATCTTTAAAAAAAATAAATAAATAAAATAAAATGCATGCTGGTAGGAGTGCAGGACACCTAGAGAAAAGCCAAATTTCTCAAACGCTGCTCATCTTTAGTTAATTTGTGGTACTACTCCTTGCACATCATGAGTCCACTACTCCTTTTTCCTCCTGTCAGCACCATGCCTCGCACCCTCCTTGCACCCCACATTTCCCTTGCTCCCCTCCCCAACAACAGACATTCTTGACGATCATCAACAGAAGCTTTATTTCTCATTGCTTGGAGCATAACTGAAGGGTAGATGGAAGGAGGGAGGGAAGGACGGAGGGACTGCGGGAGAAATAATCCTGCGAGGAGGAGGAGGGGCTGGATCTGGGAAGATGAGCCGCGTGCTCAGGGCAAAGGGGCAATTGGACGATAGGAGATATTGAATGGGGGGGGGCGTGGAGGGGGAGGGAAGTTATAGGGGGCATAAAATTCAGAATCAGCCACAGGGGGGCGAGGTGAGCATGGGACCCAGGCTGGTTAGAGGGGAAGTTAGTACAATTTAGGACTACAGGGCTCTGGAGTTCTATCAGGGTATCAGGGCTCCAGTTTCAGGTTTCAGGGTGTAGCATGGGGGAGCCCAGTAGGGGCTATGCTGGCTGCAGGGGGAGCCCCCAGGCCCCTCCCCTGGAGCCCCTCCTTTGGGGGGAATCTCACTGACGTAGCAGAGCCATTCACTGTAGTCTGGCTGCAAACTCTCCGCCAGGCCCTTGGACACTCCGCTCCAGGCCTAAAGACAGATATCTCCAGGTCAGGGGTCAATTAGGCGCAGGGAGTAAAAGACCCGGGCTCTGGACGAAGGGAGCTCTTACAAGGTCTGCAACGCCTGTGATTACGGAAGGGACACACAGACTCCCGGGGCCCCCCCATACCGCTGTTGCCATCTGCCCCACCCGATCTATATAATCAGTTCTTCGGTGTGTCGCTCTCCCATCTAGCCCAACCTCCCACTGGCCGGCCACATCCTGACAGTTAGTGCAGGCCCCCTCCCCTCCCCTCTGGCCCCCATACTCTGTCTGACTTTCGGGCAGAGGCAGTCGGTGGTCGACAAACTGCAGTCTGCCTGTGAAAATGTTCTCACCGAAAAGTTCCCGTGGTATTCGGTGACCAGATCCTCGAGGTTCTTGAGGGTAGGAATGCGGGGCAATATCCTGAACGGAGGAGAAAGAGGGAGCAGGAGCATGTAGGTTACACTTGTCCAGTACCCTTCTCCCAGTTCTCCCAGATGGAATGAAGGGATTCTGCGGTCTGTGTGCCTGCAGCTTCCTTCCGTCACCATGTCCCCCTTGAGTGATCCCTCGTTCCTTGCTGTCCCTCTCTCTACTCCTGGAGACCCTGTGATAATCCTCCTCTACTATTTCTTCCCAGCCACCCCACCTCGTTTTCCTGGGATATCTGAAATCTCACCGTTCCAGGTAGCAGTACACACAGATAAGGGAAATAATCAATCCCATGGAGACAAAGGGGATGATAAGCACAGCTTCCAAAGCAAACAAAGAATTCTCTACAAAAAAAAAAAGAAGAAAGAGAAAGTGACCTAACATCTGTAGTGCCCCAACTTTGGTGCCAGGCTCTGTGCTAGACACTTCCCATACCCTTAATCCTCACAACTCCTGAGAGTGGCAGGGGGGGGGGGTGGGGGGGGACAATCATTATCTCCATCTTACAGATGAGGAAACAGAATCAAAGAGGTTAGCAATGTGCCCGAGGTCAAAGAGGGGGGGAGTAAGCAGCAGAGCCAGGTTTAAAACCCGACATCGGTCTGCTTCCAAAGCTATCTTTGCCATGCAGGCTTTCCGGAAATGCTGTAGGGGAATCTTAAACATTCTATCTCCCCTCCGCCTCCTTCTCGACCACCCCCCCCCCACTCTAACAACATACTGAGCCAACCCTACACAGAAAAGCCTTGCAACCTGGGGGTTGAGGTTGAACAGTGAGGGGAGATGGGCCACCAAGTTTGGGGGGCTTAAGGATCGAGAGGTAGAGCAAAAGAGAGTGATGCTCGAAAAGGTTGGGGTGCCGGGCTCATGGGTCACGGTGAGGCCTTAGGCCCATTTTACCCTTGGAAGTATTGCTGCCCCAGTGGATAGGGCGGCTCCATTCACTCCAGCGCTGAGCGCTTCCACAGAGTGGGTTATAGCGGCTCCGGACACGGAATGTGTAGACTTTCTGCCCATCCACGCTAGGCAGAGAGAAGCTATTTCGGTGGTCCACTGATTGTTCCTTGGGGAGAAAGAGAGTGAGGGAGAGATGGGTGTCTAAAAAAGAAGGGAGAATTAAAACCGCAGCCCCTCCCCCCCACATCATCCAGTCCTTCCCAGCTCTTCCCTCCTCTCTTGACTACTCAAGCCACCCTGCTCCCTTCACCGACTAGAATCTAATGCCTCCTCGCCAGATCCCCTGGAAGGCTCCCTTTTGTTTACTTGCCTATCAGGTATTGGGAAGAGTACGGGTAGGAAAACGTTAATGGAAAGTCCACTGGTCATTATAGGCAAAGGAGCTGGATGAGGGGAGAGACAGAGCAGAGGAACCAGGAGGCAGAGAACAGGAGCTTCAGATCAGGCCCTCCTATTTGGCTGACTGAATCGTCTATCCCCATTTGCTTGGCCTTAGAGCTGCTACATTCATGACCCCGGTCACTCACAGTCCAGCTGCGGTCCCAGTCACTCCGGTACTGCACAAGGTGCTCCAAACAGTGGTCCAAGTGTCTGTTGCTCCAGCTCAGTTCTAGCTGTGATTCGCTCAGGTTGCGAAGGGTCAGGTTCTCCGGAGCCCAGGGGATCACTGGAGATATGTGTGTTTGTGTGTGTGTGTGTGTGTGGCCATTGCCCTGGCCTAGATGAGTTAGGATCCTGAAGGTAGCGCCCCTAATCCCTCCGCCCCTCCCGATCCCGATCCCGATCCCTCACCTCCTCCTTCCTGCCTAAGTACCCTCAAGGTGAAAGAACACCACTCCCTATACTCCAGTGCCCCACAATATATTCCAGGACTCTTGGCGCCCTTTCCAAATTACCCAGATTCTGCAGTTTTAGCATCTGTATGGACTGCCTCCTGGGCTCCCGTGGGTCCTGGAGCTGGACAACAAATGTTTCGTAGAGATGGATCTCCTCCTTTTGCAGCCAACAGCCCGCAGTGGTCTCTCCGGAGAACAGATAGTGGCCACACTCCTGGACTTTATCATCATTGGACTTCTTGTACCTGGAGAAGGGTTGGGAGGAAGAAGAACAGTGGCATAAACTTGGGTACTCCAGATACCACAGCCCAGCCCCATCTCCTCTGAACTGACTTACCCCATGAGAAAATGGTGGGGAGGCTCGGACGCTGGCTTACCCTCTTTCTTGGTCCAGCCCACCTCCCTCTTACTCCCTTGTGCTGTCCCCTCTTCCTTTTTCATACCAGTAGTGCAGAGTCAGGTTGGTGGGCTGGGGCTCAGAGCTGCTGTTCCAAGTGCAATTCATGTACTCAACATTGAACACAAAACACTGGACCTCTGGGAGGGGCAGGGTGGAAACGGTGAGGGCCGCAGGGGGTGTAGCGGTCAGGAAGAAATCTAGGTTAGAGAGAGGACGAAGGGGGGGGAGGGAGGGGAAGACCAGAAATGATGGTCAGAAGAAGCAGTGGCAAGGGGCAGAGAACCCTTCCCCTTTCCCTTCTCCACAGTACTCTTCAGTTCTGCCCGCATCCTTCTAATGCCCCATGGCAGGTTCGAGATTTCTGTACGGCCCCTTCCCACAGGCTCCCCTCTCACCAACCCCCTTCAGTCCCACGTTTCCCACCAGCTGTGATGTCTTCATTCCCATTGGGCATGGGGCCCGTCAAGTTCAGCCCCACCCCCAGCAGAGGCAGCTGCAGGAATAAGAGGGATCTGAGTGGCAATGGTGGCTTCAACATGGCGCTTGCTCTTCGTTCCCTGGGTGTAGACTGTCAGGAACCTGGGCCCCTCACCCATTACCCCTCCCC